GGCAAGTGAAACTTAAAGGCAGAAATAACACACGAGGCAAATCACAACGAAGACGATAGGGGAGAAGGAAAAACTGAAACAAGCGACAACACAAAAAAGAGAGATAGGAAACACGATCGAGAAAACAGGGCCGACACCGAGACATGCGAGGGGCGCACGAGAGTCAAAAATCATTCGCAACACGCATAACGGACACAGGATCTCCTGGGTCTACCGGGGACGGGGGGAGATGAGCATCAGCACTACCCCCCCCAACCTCCCTCGACACAGCAGCGCACACAGAGACAAAAATATATATATATATATGCAAACAACAACAACAATGAAACGCTCAAATAGCAAATCGCACAGGTGGCGTCGAGGCATAGCTATCACCTACGGCAGGCTAAGACGCAAGACGACGCGATATGCCCACGCAGTTCATAAAGCCATTAGAATATTTTGTTTTTCAGCCGCACTGAGACTGACGTCTTTCCATTGGTCAGCCGGTTGGCGCGGTCAACACGTAGAAAGTATAGAAACACAAACACACAGTCAGGCGGCTACAAAAGTACACAATCCCACAACAGCCGTGTCGCACCTTTGCCGCGTCTGAAACGAGAGGCTGGATGAGCTTGAGCACCCTGTTCTGGAAGTCCGAGACGTGCGTCATGAGCGGGACCCTGTACACGAACTCTAGCCCCTTCAGCTCGGCCGGCAGCGCGCCCCAGAACCCAACGCGGAAAAAGGCGCCGATGCCGCCCAATCCCTGATTGTTGTATTGTGTTTGCGTTGTCGTTGTTGTTGTTGTTGTTGTCAAGACAACTATAATTGCTGCAGGCGTGACAAAGCTAGGAGGCGTGACAGGTCGGGACCATCGCCCATGTCGTGTAGCTCGGTAGCTGTTCTACGCCAGCCTCTGCGGCCACGTACGTGTAGATCAAGAACGCTGACCAATGCCAGCAAAAGCAGCAAAACACAACACATATGTTCGCGTGGGGCATTCAAATTACAATACTTTCCTGGACAGACGACGTCATGCCCCATGAAAACAATGAATGGGGACTTTAACGTTATCGCGACCTTTGTACCTCGTTCAAAGCTACCAGGAGCTGCTCGCCGTTGAAGACGCACGAACGTCAGCACACGTACAGCACGCCCCTCCCCTCCCAACCAACAGCGCAACTTACCACTGTTTCCTGCTGCATGGCCTTCTTCATGAACTGGTGGATCTCGTTGTGGGCCTGGGCCATTGTCTTGTAGTCCCGTTCAAACCGCGCCACGGCCAGGGTTTCGCGGTAGGCTTCGTTTGCCAACAGCGGCAACGCCGCCTCGCCCAGCCTAGCCCCCGCCTACCAACACACAGATGGGAATGGGGGGGGGGGGGCGTACTCTCGTGGGTTGCATGCCTTGGCGGCTAGACCATTGACCACGCGTCCTCGAGAGGACGGAGCGTTGTTGCAATGGCGTTTTCGGACGTACAACACAGAACACAGATGTGAAGGGACTAAAATTCAAGAAAACAAAGAGCACAAGCGTACAATGCATGAAAAGTGATACGGGGAGGCAACTACTACTACTGTAGGTCTGCTAGAGAAATTCAAGCCGTTTTGTAAGGTGGCATTCGAGGCCGGGTATGTCTACAACTACTGGTTGACTGGCCCGTACAGAACTACCACGACGAAAATACAAGAACCTCAGCAAGTGTATGCGGAAACAGCACATGAAAAAAAAAAGGGAAACACAACTATGCATGCCACATGCAGATGAACCTAGCCAACACAGCAAACATGGCATACCGAACGGTGAAGCTGGTACAAAAGAAGAAGAAAAAAAACAACACACACACACACAGAATCGTGGCGGTGCAACGCACTGTTCACAGCATATGCCCCGACGACCATGCCCAACCGTTCCACAACAGAAAGCCATCAACCCGCAATACAAACGGAGTACACACGAATACGGGGGGCACCAACAGACAACGCGCCGAAACTAGCCACACAACAACCACCAACGCAGGAGTACACTACACGGGCGCAAAACAGACACCCGCGCCCAAATCCAAAACCACGAGCCAACAACACCAACAACACCAACAACACCAACAACACTAACAACAACACCACCACCACC